CATCATGATGGGCATTAGGCCCTCCCTACCCAAACTGCCAAGCTCAGCCATACAATGAACCATGGGTTAGTGAAGAAAACTGGCTTTGTTTAAAGCCACCCCCTGCCTATTGAAACCCATGTGGCTGATGCTTTGAAGCTGGACCCAAGTGCTATGCAGTTGCCCTAGTGAGGGAACACAAAGGGGCCTGAGAGATGAAACGCCAGAAGCAGCAGCCACAATAGTGCCTTGAAGTGGGAAGCATGGGACAGAAAAGCACTGATTAAAGAGAGGCCAGGTGCATTATGGGAGCTTCACCAGTGACTTTGACTGCTAGAGCTTCCTGCTGAAAGAAGGAGGGAGATCAAACACTCCTCTCATACAGCAATCTCCAATAGTATGGCCAGGTATGATGTGGGCATGGGTAGAAAATGTGGGGATGAATGTGAGGGACAGGAACCCTGGTTGGATATTAAGTGTACCAGTGTTCCCATGTTCTCTGCACTCTTACAGTGCTTCAGAAGGATTTTTCTACACGTTTATGATTTCATTATTTAGTTGCCTGTGCCTAGAAGGCTCAAGGTAGGTAGAAATTATGAATATACAGAGACCTCAAACTGAAGTGCTTTCATCTTTTGGGAAGATGGATAGATTAACAACAACAACCACGTGATCTAAAAGACTTCAACAGATCTTGGAAGGGCCTTAACAAAATGTGCCTATGATAAAGGCCACATTCTCTACATTGGGCATTAAGATTAAAAAATAATGCTTCCTTGAGTTCACCATCAAAAAGCTGAGGCTAGACAGCAAAGGCATGTAGAAAAGCAGACCCATAGCCTGTGAGTATTCCACATTTTGCAACTGCACTGTCCAGGCACAGATATTGCTGCTGAACTCAAATGTCAGCATGTTCACAATCTCCAAGTTACAGAGATCAAGAGCTATTTTAGCAGAGTCTACTCTCTCCAAACCCAGGGGTGGTAAGATAAATGCACCCAGGCATGAATAAGGAAGCTGAGTCTAAATCAAATCGTTGATTTATGTGTATGAGCTCCCACCACTGATAAACTTATAACATTCAGGTTGAACAGAGACCCAAGAGCTTAGTATGATCTAGGATCCAGGCCACAGAACTATAGGCAATCACCTTAGTTACAGAAAACAAGGTCATTTCACTTCCCACAATCCTCTTCATTTCTTGACTACATCCAAATGCACTGTAGTGCAAGGCTAGTTGGCAAAGGCAATTTATGTAAGTCATGAGGAGCAGAAGAAAAGAATGCAGAGCAAGCAAATATGTGCAAATTCGCACAATCCATATAGATCCTCATAGGATTCAGATTTTATTTGTGCATTTTTGCAAGCTTTTCTTTTTTTAAAAAGCATAGAATATACAAAATTTTGGGCTTCCCCTCACAAATTTTTAAACTCTTCCCTGTACCTTTGTCACAGCATTAGTTTGAGCATCTTCAGAAAGACTTCTTTACATTTCTTTGCATTTTTAACCACTGTTTATATGTGCTGGGGCTTTGCACATTTGAGTTTAAGGTGGCCTATGGTAGGATACATAGATTAGTTGAGAGATTATGGGTGTGGTCATGCAATTCTCACATGAGTGCAGGCAGCTGTGCCTAAGTACAGCTGCCTTCTAGTGGGTACAATAGGCAGTACTCAGTTGCCCATCTGCCTGTCAACCAAAATCTCAGGACAAACCGAAAAGGAAGCTGGCAGTTTTGTGTCTTCCCTTGGGATGCAGCCTGGTAGGCTAACAGTCTATGAAACCCCAGTGTTTTTCCTTGGTGAAGGAGATACTTGGATCTGAAAGACTACTGAAAGGCCAAAGCTAAGCACACCTTTTCATTGCATATCAAAATTGCCTCTAATGCAAGAGACTCAAGACCTCCAACCAACACCATTTTCCTCCAAGTCAGATTCTAAAATTAGAATGTGGGACAGATGGCGCTGTATGGATCCGATTAAAAAAAAGTCCATCCCCTCAACCCCCCCCCCAAAAAAACCCCTTAGAGGTGGCAGAGTATTGGGAGACATCTGCTCTCAAGGGGGTGGGGATAAGTCATAAGTTCCTGGCATTGTATAAAATTGGTACTAACATCTCGTACACTGGCTGGAAATGGTTTCTTAGAACTAATGTTACATCTGCAAAATCTCCAAAGAGGGTTGCAACTTGTCCCTTTTTAAAAGGCACATCTGTGATTCTGGAGTATTCCATTCTCAAAGAAAATGATGAACATTCTGTTTAAAAAAATGAACTGACCACCTTCAATGCTAATTCACATGTGACCAGTCCCTTTTAACAAATTCTTCTTCCTCCTGGGCTGCACCTACAGTCAACATTTCCTGTCCAGCAAAACTAAACAGGACAAGCTGAGGCTGACAAATTTATGCCAGGAATGCAACCATATACCCAAAGGGTTAAGAGGCAAGTGGTTTCACTGCATGGAATGCTGTGGCTGAGTGTCCGTGACCCAAAGATATATGGAATCAGAAAGCTGGAAAGGTAAAAAAGGCTATCTAGTCCCAACATTCTGCCCAAATGCAGGAACTTCTATCTACGTGCTCCAGTCTCATTCCTATCATTCTGCTCTGAATGGTGTTCTACAAAGCAAAAACTAGTGAACGCAACAGACTAGGGATGGGGAACCTCCAGCCCACAGGCAAAACATGATCCTGCAAAGGAACAACTGGGAGCTTAAAGAAGCTTCCTGATAGCTCCTTTGCTGGAGGTCATATCCCTGCCAACACTGCTCTGTGCAGCAGCTTCTTTCTACCTCCAACATCTGAGGTAGAAAGGAGAAGCACAAGGAGGCTTGCAAAGCATATGGCTGGCGACACCCCTTGCACAGAGGTTCTCAATCTTTGGGTTTTGACAGGTGGCCTTTATATGATGTTATAATTATGTAATGTGATTGACAGGTGGGTTGCCCCTGTCAAAGTTGCCCTGCAAAGGCTCCCCACTCCTGTCACGAACCATGTGCTTGCAGAACAAATAGCTCATGACAATTCAAGCAAGTAAGCCAAGCTATGCACTGCACAAGGCAAGGGAAAGGAAATGAAAGGAAGAAGTGGCTCACTATGTTTCTGATTGGGGGTAAGATTGCTTGAAAATGTAAGTATATTACTAAGTAACTGGGGGAGGCTTTTGAAGGTAGGAGTTATGTGGGATATTGTTGAAGGAAATGAAGGAAATTGGGGTGGGAGTGGAAACTACGGATTTATTTGGTCTAGGGAAATGACTTGCTTTGAGACCCCAAGTGTTCTTGCTTTGTACTTGTGACACAGCTGGACAGCAAGTCACATTGGAATTGGTGGCACTTGCTTTTGAGCAAACAGCACGTATAGGATAATGATGAATTTTATTATTATTTATTACTTTATGTACCACTTACAAGTCAAGATGGCTGCACCAGTAAGATGCATTCAGGATCAGGATGCACAATTGCTCATGGGTAAATGCAACAAAAAAAAAAACCAAGTGCAGGGAGGGCAAAGCATGCAACCTCCCCACAGGACAGACAGTAGCTTATGGCAAATACTTAATTTTTTAAAAAATTAAATTTGTATACAGCCCTTCATCTGAAGATCACAGGGTGGTTCACAAGATAAAAACACAAAATGTAAACACAAAATACATAATAAAACAAGAGCAAAACTGATCAATAACCCCACTTCCACTTATTTTTAGACTTGCCTCAGTTTGTGTTTTGGAGGCCCATATATTTGACCCTCTGGAGGCAGACGGCTTAGTATTGTGGATTATGTTTGATCCACCTGATGATCAGAAATAAAATGTTCCCTAAAAGGCAATTCAGGTGATGTTCCAAGATACTCTGACCCTTGACTAGGGAAAAGGGAGAGGCACGATTTGCTGAGATGCTGCTTATCAACATTTAGCAGCTGAACGTAAGACAGAGCAGACAGGTGGGTCACCTTTAGTGAGATGCATTGTATTTCATAAATTATGACAGATATTTTGAAATCTGCATTTAATATGCATATGAAATTTCTCTCCCCCACTTCCTTTTGCAATGGGTAAGTAGCCACACTACAGTGACAGCTCTCCGACAAAAGCTGTAGCAGCTTCAGATTATGTGTGTCAGGTGGTGAACCTTTTTCAGCCTGAGGGCTGCCTTCCTTTATAGGCAACCTTCTGGGGAGAAACATGCCCAATGGTGGGCTGGGACAGAGGCAAAAAGTGGGCGGAGCAAAGGACTTGTCTCTTTACCTACGTACAGGAGGCCATATTCCAGCCACATAAAAGTCTGAGACTTCTATACATCCCACATTGCTCTCCATCCAGACAAGGAAGAGGCAATTTCACCTTTCAAGGATGCATTCCAGCCAGGAAAAGGCCCTCAAGGAGCTTGTAGTGCAGGTGTGGCTTGAGGAAGGGCTGAGGCTTGAGGAGAGACTTGAGGGGCATAGAGATTGCTGGAGGGCCACATTTGACCCCGTTTTACATGGTTCCTAATTTTAACTTGTTCATATCATGTCCTACTCCAAAAGTTCAGGAAGAATCCGATCAAGATTCACAAGCACACCAAACTATAGCCAGTCATAATCCCAGGGTTCCTTTCAGGGGCATTGCCCTCTACTTATTGGGAAGGTTTAACATGAAGCACTTTTTGGTTACGCACCAATATATATCTATGACAAGGCCAGGAATTGTAATTGCAAAGCACCGTACATTTCTAAATAAAGTACTTCTGTTTCCAGTACTTAATTAGAAAATATTTTGACATGCTCAACAGAAGCAGTTAAATACTGTTCTAAAAATTATCTTACTGCTTATTCTGGAAAAAAATAAAATAAAAGTTTTATTCTGGGAACTGCAGGATTGCTCACTTCTATTTTGTATCAAATGAGAGTTTCGTTTTGTTTTCTCCTGGCCTTGCTGTGGCAGCAAGACAAAAGCTTATGACTCAATTAATCACAAGGCCTGGACTCACTCAGGAAGAAGTCTTGCCTTCCAAGGGCTGCCTCTCTTGAACTCCCCTTACCTTGGGTGGCTGAGGTGACAAGGACAGTGGTGATGCAGAGACTCCAGAGGGCATGGATGAGCCGGGCCATGCTGCACTCGATGCTGGAGCTGTCAGCAACCTGGAGCCACTCTGGTCATCCCAGAGTGGAGGACACAACAGCAGGCCTGGTGGAAGAAAGAAGAAGAGTCTTGAGTCTGGTTAGCAGCAGAAGCAGTGTTTACCCTCTGCCCTTACTTTGCCCCAAGTAAAAGTCACAACTCTTCTGCATTGTCTTCCCTGCTCTAGGACCCATACGTTGTTGTCCCAATCAGCCCACCACCACTCAGTGTATTTCCTAGGAAGCCCCTACAGCTCAACACATCTACCTATGCCCATACAATCATGGAAGCCTCTTCTCTAGAAGAGGGGGTTCTAACAGAAAGGGGAATAAGGTGATGAAGTTGCCACTTCCCTCAAAAAGTATACATCATTTAAATTTTTAAGGAAAGGAATTATTTATATATCAGTTATTATCTGCCCTTCACTGTAAGACCCCAGAACAGGAGACAACAGAATATAAAACAAAAAAACAAAAGTTTTTCTATGAAAAGAATTGCAACTAAGTAAAACTGTTCCAGCCCAAACCAAAAGAGGTGGGTCCCACAAAACAAATTACTTTTAACTGTCAAAGGCCAGGGTAAATAGGTTCATTTTCGGCATGCACCAGGAGCTGCAAAACAGACCTGCCCAAAGCTGTGTCCCTATTCCTGTTCTGCGCTGTACCTTAAAACCCAGAGCCCTCCATACCCAGGCTCTGTTCAGGTTCTCCCCTTACCCCCCACTAATTTTAGGAGCTGGTAAACACACACACACAGACTGCAGCCTAGTAGCAGCTGTTTCATCAGGCATGAAAAGTACAACCACTTTGGTGGTGAATCTTTCTCAGTACCCTTGCTGAAATGGCTCCCAACCATATACATGTGAAGGCATCCTCCATTCTAATCCTACCCTACTTTTCTCAGAACCCCACTTACCCTGCAGCTGCAGCCCGCCTCTCTATGCTTGCAATGTCTGCAAAGCCAAGCACACTTTCCCACACGAGCAACAATGACGTCCACTATGAACTGGGGCTCATTTAAACCAAGACAACAGAGAGATGGAGACAGAAATATGATGCCCTTTCTGGAATTTTCCAAAGTGATGGCTTCAAAAACTTTGTATTAAAGCCAGCCTTGCTGCAAAGTTACACAAGCCTACATACAGTACAACCCTTTCAGTCCAAGAAGGGGAAGCACAAATACTTGGCGCGAACATGCAAAGAGCTGCACAGGAACAGTAAAGAACCAATGGAAGTTTATGATTGCAACACGAGAGGGGTGGCCTATCTAGAGGGGGTATGCCTTGGGAAGGAGGCATGGCTTCAGGAGAGTTCAGAGGACTGGCTAGAGGGGGCCTGAGGTTCCCCACCCGGGCCTAAAACAGTGGACCCAATGAGTGATCATTGGAGCCAGGGCAGGAGGAGGTTAATGGCCACTAGGCCCATCAGGGCAGCGTTTAAAGCGGGGGGGGGGGGGCACAATTCAAATCACCCTGACAGCTACACTTACATTCTTATTAGTTCAGGAAAATAACACTGCCTCGTTAACCATAAAAAGGCATTTTTGTTACTTATTTTAGCACAGTGTTTTCCAAGCCTATTCTGTGTCAACTTGTTTTCTCTTGGAACACTGCAGCCCTTCTTTTTGTGCCCAACAGTGCTTTCTTTTTCCTCTAACATGACTTTGACTCTGTCTGCCTGTCTGTCTCTCTGCCACTCCCTCTCAAAGCTATGCTCAGTCCTCTTGTTCCTCAACCCTCTCCCTGCACTCCTGAAAATTTGCCTCCCTGGACAAAACAACAGTGCTTCCAGGAAGCGTCCCCACCCCACCCCCCTCCAGGGTACAAAGGCAACAGGTCGCTGCCTTGTTGTTTATCCACAACATATATGGAATATGGAGATACACTTCTGTGTGCAGAAGCTTCATTTATTATTATTACTTCTATTGCTATTTGTTAGCCACTTTCCTCACAAAGAGTCCTCCAGACCCAAAGAGACTTACATGATAACTGTTGTTCATCTATTCTAGATTTTAGAAAATGGTTTGTCTACCTGTTTGTTTGTTATCTTATGTGTTTGGACATCTCTTGAGATATAATCGCCAAACTTGGCATGAGGGTTCCCAAGATGAGAGCAGCTGTCTTCATCATAGTTTGGATGCAGGGTGCCATTTTGAATCAAGATGGCGGACCAAAATGTGACTTGGGCATGAGTTCACCTGATTTTTGGTGTGATGGGTCCAAACTCAGAAATAACAGTACCCATTTTTAAATCACTTTTTTTTGGGGGGGGGAGGGCTTTTATCATCCTCCATGAACTGTCTAAATTCATTTTTAAAGCTATCTAAGATAATGGCATCCATCACAATTTGTGGCCGTGAACCTCACAGGTTAATTGCACAAACACTTCCTTTTATCTGTTCTGAATCTACCGCCAATCAATTTCATTGGGTGACTCCCAAATTCAACTATGATGTGGAAACCTATTACTTTCGCCACACCATAATTTTCTAAACTTCTATAAGGTCCCCCTTCATCATCTTTTTCCTTTTTTCTAAACGGAAAAAAACCAAACAACCCCAGACACTTGAGCTATCATAGGAAAGAGGTTCTGATCCCTTGGTCATTTGGCTTTTCATTTTCAGTTCCATTATCTTTGTTTGAGACAAATGACCAGAAGTAAGCACAGTATTTCAAGTTTGACAGTACCACAGATTTAGATATTATGATACTTGCTATTTTATTTTCAATCTCTTTTCCTTGTAATTTCCAATATGGAATTTGCCTTTTTCACAATTGGTGCAGCTTAAGTTTATGTTTCTCTTTCCTGCAAAGTCACGGTTAGTTCATGTGTTGTAAAGGACTAGGATTTTTTTTAATCCCATTGTGCATAACTTTTCATTAACTTACATTCAATGTTACATGCCAATGTCCATCCACCCAGTTTAGAGACATCCTTTTAGATTCTCCACCCCCTCAGTCTGTCTGGGATCCTACCGTCCTGAATAATTTGGTATATTCCATAGTTGCTACCTCACCTGTGACTCCAGATAATTTTTGGAAGGTTGAAATCCCCCTTTTTTCTCCCTGCACTCCAAAGTACACAGTTGTGTTTCTGACAACTACCTCTACTTTTCTACTCCTTGTTGAGTTTTGTTGTAACAATATATACTGCTAGCAATTCACACACTGAGGGAACATCAGACGCAGGCAGGCTGAGCCATGCATGACTGCAACATGATGGAAAAAGTGGTACCAATTCCATCATGTGGCTCTTAAGGAGAACAGCAACACAAAATATGATCTGTGCATTCTCCCATCACCACCAGTGGTGGGCCTACATAGGCCATGGTTGCTTCCATAGGCCTCAAACAGGCTTTTGGAATCTCCCTCAGGGCCACATTCTGGTCTTGCGGCCTTATGTTCTGCAGGCCCAATCTCAATATACAATTCAGTAACAGGCAATGGCAGCAAAGGCTTTAAACTTACTATGCACCGTTATCTTTCCCCTCATAACTAGCACATAACCCAGTGGGATAAGTCAGCACTGGAGAGCACTGAGTATAGAGTGAGCCTAGCATGCATTATCCTTGGAAGTACTGAGGTCATACTGAAATAAAGGAAGAAATGTTCATCACCCTCCACACTAATAAATTGGGGAAAGAAATCAGAAGTCCCAGCTCACACTTTCTTGCATGAATACTGAACAGGGGTCCTCTTTCATCAAAGGCTGTGAGTCTAAATCTCATGTGAGGTGGATATTGCTCTGGCCACTAGGCTACCTACGTTGCCATGGAAACGGGCCTGAAATCCAGTGTGCCCACAGCCAGAAGGCCTTTCTGGTGCTGTTTCAGTCAAAGGGAAATATTAAAGTGACACTTGATCAGTCCCTACCCAAGGCTCATATATTTCTCCTGCCCCATACCCCTGGGATCTGAAATTTAATGTGTGGTGATAACAGAGGGCAGGAACCAGGCGTGGTCCAGCTCTGGGGGGAATGACATACAGAGAGATGTTTTGCTCCATTATTGGGCTGTCCTATAGTCTCTATTCACCAAAAGAAGGGTGTAAACATGGGATTAAGTATTTTTGACACAGAAGAAACAACAACCCACTCCCCAGCCATAATCCCCATAGCCAAGCCTGATAACAGGCCCCTGCTGGCAGACAGATGCTCTGACAGCTGCTACTTGCCCCCCAGCTGAGCTACAATGGGGCCTTTGCTGAATTAAACACAATAGCTTCTCCATCTTCTGGCCCACCCCCTGTGCTCTGACCCACAATGCCAATTTCATTTGTAGGTTAAGGACAAGGAAATGTCCACTCATAATGGGAATGTGTACACTGTATTGCCAAGCTAAGAAAAATATCCACTGCCTTGTATAAGAATTTTTGGTTTGAACAGCTTGACCTGAAAGAGGAATGACATCTTGTGGGAGTGTCAGGGAAAAGGCTTGGGAACCAGATTTCAGAGAAGTGGGGATAGGAGCTGTCAGGACTCCTGGGGTCTATACACCAGACCCATCCCATCCCAAGTTGTTTGCACACACCCTCTGTGTTTTGAGTTCTGCACAGGTGATATGAAAAAGCATGTCACTTTTCCAGAGGGAGCCACAATGAAGGACTCTGTATTTTTAATGAACTGCAAGGGAACAAGAAAACATAAAATAAAAGTGCTGTTTCCAGTGGTCCCTGACTCCCATGCCCCCTGCTGTTGAGTTCTCCCTAGTGCTGCAGATGGGTGCTTGCAATCACAGCAGGAGGAGTGTTTCCATCTGAGCATTTTGACTCCTGCAAGTTTCCCCAACTTGGAAGGGGATGCTGACAGCTACTGCACAGAGGGAAGAGAGATACAGCTGTCCCACTCTTGGCTTCCTTGCCTGGGTCTCTGGCAACGAGACAGTGATTCCCCATGGAAGCTGAGGGCACAACATGAGCAAGCAGTTGTAAATTTCCTCATAGAATAAAAGACTATGGCTTAGCTCAGAGCAGGACAAGAGATGGGGTAAAATAGGACCATATATATCACAGCCAGGGAACACCGTGTCCTGAACAAGAGCCATTCTCTCCACGTTCCCTACACTGCCCA